TGGTTTTAAAGGCAGACACATTTGTATACATGGTCTTATAGCACAGCACTTTTTGATTTATATGTATTTGATTATGGGGTGGGTTCACCATATGTGCTAGCTGCTCCCAGATCTCCAAGCGCTCACTTTTTTTTTTTTTTTTTTTTTTAATTTAGCATATACACGTCAAAATGCCATGCTTCTAATGGTCAGTTCACGCACTGTGTGGTGTGAAGAAGAAAAAAAAAAAAAGCATGCAGTACTTTTTACAGCACAGCAGGATGCAAAGTGACCCACTGCTTTACAATGCCACTGTGGTGAGTAGATGTGTACTGAAATGCCACTCAAGGCATTTCAATAAAGTTCTGTGGAAAACAGTAAACCAAGTGATATGCCGAAACCAGAGCTTAGAGTCATCTACTGTTAGGTCCATATATAGTTGGACACAGGCACAATTTCACTTTTTTTTTTTGGTATGTACCAAAACATATTCAAGCTATAGTTCTATAATGGATATGGGCTGAAAGTGCACACTCTCAGGTTTAATTTGAGGGTATGTACATCCAAAACTGGAGGAAGGGTTTAGGAATTACAGCTCTTAAGAGTAGCCATCCCCCCTTTTTCAAGGGACCAAAAGTAATTGGACAAATTAATATAATCATAAATAAAATGTTCATTTTTAATAATTTGTTGAGAGTCCTTTACTGGCAATGACTGCCTGACGTCTGCAACCCATGGACATTACCAAAGACTGGGTTTCCTCCTTTCTGATGCTTTGCCAGGCTCTAACTGCAGATGTCTTCAGTTGTTGTTTGTGGGTCTTTCTGCCTTTAGTTTTGCCTTCAGCAAGTGAAAAGAATGCTCAATTGGGTTGAGATCAGGTGATTGATTCGGCCATTGCAGAATATTCCACTTCTTTTCCTTCAAAAGCTCCTGGGTTGCTTTTGCAGTGTGTTTTGGATCATTGTCCATCTGTACTGTGAAGCGCCGTCCAATCAACGTTGCTGCATTTGGCTGAATCTGGGCTGACAGTATATCTGTAAACACTGCAGAATTCATCCGGCTGCTTCTGTCACATCATCAATAAACACCAATGACCCAGTGTCAATGGAAGCCATGCATGCCCATGCCATCACACTGCCTCCACCATGTTTTACAGATGACATTGTGTGCTTTGGATCATGAGCTGTTCCAAGCTTTCTCCACACTTTTTTATTCCCATCATTCTGGTACAGATTAATCTTAGTTTCATCCATACAAAGAATGCTCTTCCAGAACTGGTCCGGCTTTTTTTTAGATTTTTTTTGGCAAAGTCTAATCTGGCTTTTCTATTCTTCGGACCTATGGTCTGCAACTTGTATTGAACCCTCTGTATTTGCTCTCGTGAAGTCTTCTCTTGATTGTAGAATTTGGCAATCATATGCCCACTTCCTGGAGAGTGTCCTTCACTTGTCTGGATGTTGTGAATGGGTTTGTCTTTACCATAGAGAGGATCCTGCGGTCATCCACCACTGTTGTCTTCTGTGGCCGTCCATGCCTTTTTATGTTGCTGAGCTCACCAGTGCGTTCTTTCCTTAGAATGTACAAAACTGTTGATTTGGCCACTCCTAATGTTGCTGCTATCTCTCTGATCGAATGGTTTCATTTTTGAAGCCTTACAATGGCCTGTTTCACTTGCAAGGACAGCTCCTTTGAACGCATGATGTAGGTTCATAGCAATAGATTCCAAATGCAAATACCTCTCTTATAATAAACTCCAGACCTTTTACCTGCTTAATTGATGAAGAAATAATGGAGTAGCCCACACCCGGCCATGAAACAGCTTTTGATTCAATTGTCCAATTACTTTTGGTCCCTTGAAAAAGGGGGGATGGCTACTCTTAAGAGCTGTAATTCCTAAACCTTTCCTCCAATTTGGATGTACATACCCTCAAATTAAACCTGAGAGTGTGCACTTTCAGCCCACATCCATGATATAACTATAGCTTGAATATGTTTGGGTAAACACCTGAAAAAAAACTAAAATTGTGCCCGTGTCCCAATATATATGGACCTACCTGTTGCTTAGTACCTTAGTAGTTCAGTTGACAAAGTCACATTTCAGATGCCCCCCCATTACTCCCTTCACCCCACAGAATTCAGATGACACTGCCTCTCAGACTTTAGATGACTGCTTTTACTCCCTGCGCCCCCCGATATTTCAGATACCTCCCAAATCTCTGCCCCACAGATTTCAAATGACCACTCCCAGACCTTTCATCTAAAGCAGCCTCTCAACATTTTCAACACAGAGGAACCCTTGAAACAACTTTCCAGTCTCAGGGAAGCCCTACTAATAACTACAACTCATGGTACATTAGTGTGATGGTCAGTGAGAAGAATGCTCCTTATTCTTGTGGAAACTGGAAAAAATTACAGCCTTACATATAGCTATAAAAAGGTTGATGGTGTCAGTAGAAACTTACCTGGCAGGCAGAAACTGCTCATGGAACACCTATCAACCTTTGGAGGAACCCTGGCTGTGAAAATCTGATCTAAAAAGTGTAATGCTCAAGTACCCAGGCTTAAAACAGAACTGAGGGCAACATTAGAAAACTTCCGAGCAGGCAGGATACTGCAGAAGAGATGTGATGCGTCTTCTGCAATATACACCTGCCTGCTTGCAGTCTTCACGGACTTTAGATCGCTAGGGAGGAAGCACACTTGGCGACTTTAGTTCTGCTTTAAAATAGAGAAATAAAAAAAAAAAAAGAGGAAAAATACAAATCCACAATTCTAATGAATGAAAACAAAGTATTCTGAGGCACAAGCCTAATTGTGACTGGAATAAAGTTGGAGACGCTTCATTCTGGGATCAACAAATCGCACATTGATAGATCACTGGGCATCTGTAAAAAGGAGTCCCCGCAATCTATTACAGTACTGCAGCCTTACTTAGGATTAATTTGTGATTTACTTGTATTTTCCATGTCAGAGCAAAGTGTCAGACAGTAAAACCCCCATAATGGTCATATTATCTTTTCCCAAAACTTACTGCTGATAAAGACACCCAAACGTAAAAGCAGCCATTATGATAAACACAGGAATGCCAGTGTAAGGCCTTGTGTAGTCAAAATGTGTTTAACCTCTTCACGCCGGCCGCACACAAATGTGCGTTCTCCCGGTGTCTGGGCCTAGACGCCGAGCGGCCGCACATTTGCGTGCAATTAACAAAAACATATGTGCTGACAGAGCACACCCTGCGCGCTCCCAGCACACATCCGATACTCACGGAGAGGTCTCAGTCTGCTCTTTCGATCGGGACCTTTCCCGATCATGTGACTGCCGTGATGACGTGTCACGGCGGTCACATGATCCCTAAACCCCACCTCCCGGCTTCTGAAACTCTTAAAGGGCCAGGAGGTGCTGGCGGGAAGGGGTTAAAAAACCAAATATCATATGCAGCTTCAGAATGTCTATCCACATTTAACCACTTGGCCTCTAGAAGATTTACCCTCCCCCCACCTCCCTCCTTCGTGACCAGGCCATTTTTTTCGATACGGCTCTGCGTTATTTTATCTGACAATTGCATGGTCATGCAGCGCTGTACAGAATTTATATAGTTTTTTTCCCCCCAAATAGAGCTTTCGTTTGATGGTATTTGATCACCACAGGGTTTTTATTTTTTGCACTATAAAAACCGGAAAAAAAAACCCAAAACAAATACCCTTTCTGCTATAAAACATCCAATAATAAAAAACAAAAAAATAAATTTAAAAAAAAATAAAATTTCTTCATAACTTAAGGCCAAAATTTATTTTGCTACATTTTTGCTAAAAAGTTATAGTATCTACAAACTTGTATATATTGGAATTTGTTTTCTTATACTGGTAATGGCAGCGATCAGCAACTTATAGCGGAACTGCGATATTGCGGCAAACAGTCTGACACTTTGTGGGAACCAGTGACACTAATAGAGTGATCAGTGCTAAAAATATACACCGTCACTGTATTAATGACACTGGCTGGGAAGGTGTTAAACATCTAGGGCAAAGGGTTAACTGTGTGCGTAATCAGCGATTTTGTGTACGGTTTTTACTAGGCAATCTGCTAGATTTTATTCCCTGTTTTGCAGGGGAAAAAAAATCTAGTAGATCACCACTGGTAGAACACAGCTCTGCTTTGTTTACATTCTGTCAGTCTCCTCAGCGAACAACGGGTGCCGGCGGTTCATCCATTAGCCGACACCTGTTTATCGGCTTATGCTGTGTCCAATCACCGCAGAAGCAGCGCTCAGGAGGCACGTGCCCCCTATGGCAGAAGTGCAAAATCATGTTTATATATGTGATTTTGCACAGAACGTCCACCCTGTAGCAGTAAATCTGCTATAGGGCGGAGGTAAAGTGCTTAAAGCTGATCTCCAGTTTTACTGTCTTTTTAGCTAGTTACTTTGGGCCAAGGTGGCCCAAGTCATCTATTTCCCACACTAACAAGTACACCCACAGATAGATATACTTCACTGTAAATGGAACCATTTGCCTTGCTAGAATTGTTCAGTTGCAAACATATTGGGAAAAAAGGAAAAAAAAAAAAAAACTTTTCTCCATTAGCCTTGAGCGTTTAAAATGTAACAGCCCTGGCAAAGGGGAGGAAATACAATTGGATAACATGACACATACCTATCCATTAGGGATAAAGCAGCACTACTACAACAGGTAAAAGGATAGAGGTAAAGTTTGCACCAGTGCCCAAATTTCTGGTTCTCCCAAGATGTGCGCTATCACATTTTGCCTCCAGTCATACCTTCTGCACATCTTACCTACTAGAACAGTTATTATACACACATATACACCCCCAACACTGCCTGTTCTGGAACAAAACATTTTTGCTTGTAAGAATTAAGAATGACAAACTGCATGCTACAGTTCCACCTGTAAAGTGGCCAACATAAAATAACGCATATGGATTTGTTGTAAAACTAGGAAAAGCAACTATAGAAGAAAAAAAAACAAAAAAAAAAAAAAAAAAAAAACACAACTCACCTGTGGCCCTGGCTGTGCTGGAGGAGGTTGTGTGGGTGGGGCTCCTGGTGCCTGTCCATAGTATGCTGCTTGTTGTCTGTAATACTCTGCCCATGCCGCACTATAGTCTGGCTGGACTGCAGGTGGGGCAGTTGCTGCTGCTGTGGCGGTGGCTGCTGCCGCTGTTGCAGCTGGAGCACCAGCAGTTGCTGCGGCGGCCGCTGCTTGAGCTGTAAGAGATGATTATCAAACACTTAGATGCACTTTGCACATTACAGCAGATGTAACATCATGAATATTAGGATAACCACTATAAGATGAAATTGCAGCCCCTGCCAACACAATCATTAGCAAAAAGTTGTTAGCTGCCTCATTCAAAGGCCCAGTCCTGATCCTAAACTAAACCTCTCTCAACAGATATGGGGGCTGCCATTGCCAATTCTCAATTTGTCTGGCTATTACACGGACCTGATCTGGAACAAGAATGCATATCTGTAAAAGGTAGAGATCCTTATCTGCATGCTTGTCCCAAAGTAACGGGCACATTATGAAGCAAAAAGATGAACATGACAGCCCGAAAGTAGCATTTAAAGAATGATTTGTAGCAATGGCAGCTTCCATGTCTCTCAGATAAAGTTTCCTTTAATGCCTAACTAAAAGCAGAACGACCCGAACGATCGATTTAAAGTAACACAAAAAAAAGTTAAAGAAGTTAAACTTTAAAGCGAAACTAAAGCCGGTCATACATGGATCAAAATGCGGCCGGTTCAGCAGAGACTGGCCACATTTCAAACCATGTATGGTCAGGCTGGTAGTACAATCAATCTATTGATCGACTTCTGTACAGTCTGTTGGAAACATTTTCCTCTTGATAAGCACTGCTGAGTGTTTTTGATGGCAGTGAAATTATCCCCACTGTCAAAATGCAAGAGCTCAGCAGGAGGTATTCCCCCACCCACGAGTGTGTGGATGGAGGAAATAGAGTAATTTTCTCTTTCAACCCGCTTGTTCAATGAAAAGTTACTCGTATACAGCCAGCCGGAAGGGAGGAATACTCACTTTCCAAGCACCCCCTCGCCAACATCTTCACCTGTGTGCTGGGTTTTGGCCACCTTCATTGGCCGGCGTGGGATGGATGTCACACTGGCACATTCATAGGAGCTAACCATTCCGGCGCACAGGATCAGCCTGGGCGCTGTTGGCCGAGTTGCCCATGTGCAGCTCAATTTAGAGTCTGGGGGTCACCGAGAGGAAACAGGTAGGTGGGTGTGTTTAATTGCAGAACAGACATTGCATGTCTTTCCTGCAATAAAATGTCTGCTTGCTCACAGTGTATTATAGTGGAACTTTAGTTCTGCTTTAAGCTAGCCCTAGCCAGGAGATATAAAAAGATGTGCATGTTGCTCTATACACAGAGGACAGTGAACAGCTGGACTAGGATTGTCACATAATGTCCATAGACACATCAATAAAACATGTTTACCGTTTACATCCACTTACTGGGCCAGTTTACAAAAGTGTGGTGTCACACACAGAAGGAAGAGAATGTGAGTGAGCTTTGGGCAACTTTAGACTTCAGTCTTTGAAGCTATAAAGATTACTAATGGGCTCCATTTTAAATTAGGAGCATACATCCCCTAAACGGAGCTTTTTATTATTTCTCTACAATCACCTGAAGGGCTGAGTGAGAGATTAGGTGCTGTGAGGCATAAAAGCTGAACTTATAGTAGATATAAAAGCCACAAACTTTGTCCTGCAGGTTGGATAACAAGACATAACTGAACTGCACAGTGTTGTCAGCCATTTGTTTTCAGGATGAGACCTACCTTGTTTCTTGTAATATTCCTCCCATGCTTTTGTATAGTCTGGCTGTCCTGCAGGTTGAGGTGTCTGCTGACCTGTGGGCAGAAGCAGTCAAAGTGTCAGCAGCAAGACCCAGCTGTGTCACACCACAGGCAACCCATACACTGCTCATCACTCACCCATCTTCTTGTAATATTCTTCCCAGGCCTTTGTGTAGTCAGGCTGGCTGGCAGGTGGGGGCTGCTGTGGCGGTTCTCCTTGTGGTGGCGGGACGGGGACAGCAGGAGGTTGTCCAGGGACGGGGGCAGGAGGCTGCTGGTAATAGTGTGAGTAATAAGCAGCCCAGGCTGCACTGGGGTCTGTGGGGGCTGGAGGTTTTGCTGCAAGAAGAAAAAAAAAAAGTGATAAGTGAAAGGGGGGGGGAGGGGGGTCATTTTCCCAATACGTTACAGCATGGTAGGAATAGGTGTTACTCAGCAGTCAGTCCACTTTTCATAGAAACATTACCAACAGAGCGGTTCAATTTCATCATCCTGGTTTACAGTCATGAAGCCTCCTGCTGTAATCCCTAAACTGCTAAGCTGTGAAATACAGGTTCTCTTCTCATCTGCCATCACTGGGTCAACTGCCACAGCCAATCAACTAAGCACAAATCTATTGATAGTGCTTGTGCCCCCTAGCGGGGTTGTTCCCCAGTACCAGCTCTGCAGGTTACTGAGAGTGGACGGCAAACTGTAAAATATATTTTTTTATAACAGAAAAATGGAGCATATGGTAACCAGAGCAAAAATAAAATAGCGGATCTACTGGCAAGATCAACAGGTAATAACTGGTACAGAAGTGATTGGTTATCAAAATGAACAAAAACACTGATCTGTTAAAGCTAATGAAACCCATCACATTTTTTTCTCCACTTCCTTTAACAGGCCAAGCTATCTTGAAAACATTTTAGTTGGTTCTCTTCTTTAAACTTTTTGTCTGAGTACAGAGCTATGGCTTGTCCCAAGCATGTTTACATTCACTTACTGCTGACCAACTCTACCTTTGCTGAAAGTCTGTTCTACACACCAACTACTTTCTAAGATTTGTGATCATTCCTCCTACTAGTTTGAGGTCATGTCCTCCCGTTAGTGATCTTCGCTTAATACTGAACTGTAGAATGAACAGTGCTGTCACTATTCCAGGAAGTAGAAAAACAAATGTACAGGCAGGATCAAAACCGGTAATAAATGTGTGTGTGGGGGGGGGGGAATAACAGTGGGGATCCACCCGGATGCCTGGACCAGCAGCTGGCTCAGCCTCTCAGCAAGCCAACACTGACAGACTGAGCCAGCCACTCCCTCTCCCTCCACAGCCTAGTGCTCCAGCGAGATCTGGAGGGGCGGGAAGACAAGAGAGCCATTCACCTTCTCTTTGCTCCCTGAAGACTGAGAACTGAGCGATAAACGGTCTTTGATCACTCAGTTCTCAGGCTTAGAAGCAGCAGTGAACAGGTGCAGCATCCACCCAAGTATAACGGTTTGTTATTTTTAAAATGCTATACTTCTCTTTTAAGGCTGCATTCACACAGGTGCAGAGCCCCATACAGTGTGAAGAGGCATTTATTTATCATCTTGGAGTAGCATGGAGCTGCAAGTAGACAGGCGCTATAAGTGAATGGATATGCAGCCGCACAGTTGGATCGGACAGGTACACAGGTGAGTCAGCACAATGGCTGCATCTCCATTCACTTAAGGGTATCTCCACTTTATAATTGGAAAAAAGTAAATATATATATATATATATATATATATATATATATATCACACAATAATAATAATAATAATGCCTGCTCTTAGCCTGTCCCTACAACACTTACTGTACTTAGAATTATATGCCTCCCAAGTCTGCAGGATACCAATCTGTGCACAGCCTCAGACGCAGTGCAGCAGCATAATGTGTGCCATTGGACACTGGTCAAGGCACAAAGCTGAATGAGAGTCTCTGCTTACTTCCAGGACAAAACTCCTAAATGGTCAGCTCTGTCACATGACCGTACTGTCCAATGCTCGCAAGTGAATCTACTGTGAAAAACAAGCTGACACCATGGTGTTATTCTTTTTTTTTTTTTTTTACTTTACTATGTTAAGACCGTTCAAAATGTTAACATACATTTTGAATGGTCTTAACATATTAAAGAAAAAAAAATGAAAGAGGCCCTAAAAACATAGCTTCGAGTAACAAGAGTCTAGAATAGTAGAACACTTACTGGGGTCGTGAGGAGCTGGCGGCTGCCCCCACTGGGGATACGTGCTTCCCCAACCTTGTGGAGGATATTGGTGTGGGGGAGGTGGTGGCGGAGGACCCGGACTGTAGGTGGAAAGAAATGCAGTATTTTAAGTCCTGAAGAATAGGTTGTGTTGTTCACAACACAGAGGCAGACAAATGTACAACACATGAAGCTATACGACAGAGATAGTCACGCTACCCTGTGATAACCTACACAATCAATGTAATGCTGGTCACTATACAGGTATAACTACCTTTTCATCTGTCTCCTATATGGAATTAAAGATGTAAAAATAATTGCAGTAATAGACTTTCTTCCTGGTTAAATCATTGTAAGCAAGAGAAGAACTGAGGAAAATCTCTAAACAGAGCCCCAGAGAGAAGTCAAAACCGCAACATGTGTACCAACTTCCCCACACTACCCAAGATTAAATTAAATTATTTTGGCTGGAAAAAAACACTAAAAAATGTCACAAAACCAAGGAAAACCATTAGGCATCTGTATCCCTTGTAATGCACTGTAAACTATATCCAGAAAAATACATTTTTCCCCACCCTAACTTCCTTTATGAAGGTGGCTACAATAGCTCTACATGGTCCAATTGTATGTGGGAATGTAGCCAGTGTCTGCTCGCTCCTGACAGGCACTAACCCAGCTGTCCTTTACAGAACTCATACAGGTGATTATACAATTTCAATCTGTTTCAGAGATCATATGGCAGTACATACTGTGGAGGAGCTCCTGGAGGTCCGGGTGGGTAAGGGCCTGGGTTGAATGGTCCCATGGGTCCAGATGGACCAGGACCGGGAGGGCCAGGCCCAATCGGACAAAGAGGGCCCTAGAAAGAAATAATAGCAAATAAAATTAGACAAACTGAGCACTATTTAAATTAACCATGAACTTCTAAATTCAGTGCAAGAGAAACCACAATTACCCAACAAAATGCAAAATACTGTGTAAAACACTTAAAGCGGTTGTAAACACTTCCATTTACCCTGTGAAAAGGAAAGGTGGTGGTGTGTCCTATGTGAGAAGTGATCTCAGAGCGAGTGTGAAAGAGGACCTAGTTGATGAAGAGTGTGATGAGGCTGAAGCATTATGGGTGGAACTGCACATGGGGGTGCGTACCACAAAGGTAATCGCTGGAGTTTGTGATAAGCCATAATGTGTTAATGAGGAGGTGGAGACTCAGCTCTTTGCACAGATCGAAAGAACTGGGAGAGTGATAATTATGGGGGATTTTAACTACCCAGAAATTGTCTGGAGTAATGGCACTGCAGGAACAGTCAGTCAAAAGGGCAAAAATTTATAAACCTACTACAGGACAATTTTATGGTACAGTTCATAGAGGCCCCCAACTAGGAATGATGCTCTGCTGGACCTGGTCATCTCAAACCATGCAGAGTTTATTACTAATGTACATATAAAATAACATCTGGGTAGCAGTGACCATAACATGATTTCATTTATTGTTAGTTGTAAACAAGCACAAATTAGAAAAATAAAAAACGCTCAACTTTGAGAGATAATTTTTCAAGGCTGAGAGCTGTACTCCAAGACTGACTGGGAGGCAATATTGGCATCAATAAACACAACAAAGAAATCAGAGTTCTTCAAAAAGACTATGTGAACACACTGCAAAATATATTCCCATGGGCAACAAGTTTAAAATGCTAAAAATGAAACCTATGTGGCTTACGGCCAAAGTTAGAAAAGCTACAAGAGCTCTTATTAAACATAAAAATGAAGGAACGCTATCATCGTTTAAACATTACAAAAAATATAACAAGTAAAAAGGAAATAGAGGCCGCAAAAACTGAAAACGAAGGACAGATTGCAAAATATAGAACAAACCCCCCAAAATTCTTCAAAATATATTAAAAGTAAAAAGGTCCGGTCCGAGCATGTAGGCCCTTTACAAAATAATCTATAGAGGGTGACTGGGGACAAAGAGAAGGCAAATTTATTAAATAGCTTCTTCAGCTCTGTGTATACAAAGGAGCATGAGGGAGCTCTTGTCCATAATGGGCATGGTACTGACACAGCTCCAGATGATCCACATTGGCTCACAATTGATATGATTCAAAAATATTTAGACAGAATAAAGGTGAATAAAGCACCTGGACCGGATGGCATACACCCACGGGTCCTTAAAGAATTGAGCTCTGTCATTTCAAAGCCATTGTTTCTAATTTTTAGGGACTCTAATGACTGGCATAGTACCGCTGGATTGGCAGAAGGCCAATGTGGTTCCAATATTTAAAAAGGGGTCAAAATCTTTACCAAGTAATAACAGACCTGTTAGTTTAACTTCCATAGTTGGGAAGATACTGGAGAGTTTAATAAAACACCACATAGATGAGTTTTTGCTAAACAAAAAAAAAAAAATTTAACTGCTTCCTGACCGCCCTATAGCAGAAGTACTGCTATAGGGCAGAAGGGCTGCGAAAAACCACATGTGTATATATACACATGTGATTTTGTGTTTCTGGGTAGGATGCGCGTGCCTCCCTTCCCTGCACTACCATTGGTGTCCGGAGGTGTCGATCACAGAGTCCTGGCCAGAGATTCTGTGCCAGCACCCGGCAATCGCCGACGAACACTGTGAGAGGAGAGGTCTGTATGTAAACAATACAAATCTCTCCTGTCAGCTCCAGCATGCTGCTTTGTTTTGCTCTGCATATAGAGCAATACAAAGCAGCATGCTTACACTGTAAAACACACACACAGCACACAGTTAACCCTTTGATCACCCCAAATGTTAACCCCTTCTTGCCCAGTGTCAGTAGTACAGTCAGTGCTTTTTATTAGCACTAATCATGTCAGTGGCAGTTAGTGTAAGAATGCCTGCCGCAGTCCCACTGTAAGTCGCAGATCGCCGCCATTACTAGTATTAAATTTGTAATTTTTTTTTTAAATTCCAGTCTATAAACCGCCATTTGTAGGAGCTAGAACGTTCATGTAAACCAATTAATTTAAACGTATTGGGATTTCTTTTAAGCAAAGACATGTAAGCAGAATACATTTTTTGGCCTAAATTTATGACGAAATTTGATTTAAATTTTTTTTACTGGACATGTTTAATAGCAAAGCCAAAAAATTTTTTTTTTTTCAAAATGATCGGTCTTTTTGTTTATAGCGCAAAAAAAAAAAACAAACAAAAAAACAAAAAGAAAAAAAACACCCACAGAGGCGATCAATTACCGAAAAAAAAAGACATAAAAATTTCATTTGGGTGCAATGTAGCATGACCACGCAATTGTCAGTTAAAATAACGCAGCACTGTGTCGCAAAAAAAAAAAAAAAAAAATGGCATGGTCAGGAAGGGGGGGGTAAATCCACAGGAGGGCAAGTGGCTAAGCAGCAGACAGCATAGATTCATGAAAGACAGAAGTTGTCAAACAAATCTGATTTCTTTTTACAAAACCTTGGACAGAGGGGTGGGGGTGGACGTGGTATACTGGATTTTGCAAAAGCGTTTGACACAGTTCCCCACACACGGCTAATGTGTAAGGTAAAGTCTACAGACTTGGGGGAAAAAAAAATATATGATCTCCATGTATAATACATAAGGGGGGGGGGGGGATATGTTCTCCATGTATAAAACATAAGGGGGATATGATCTCCATGTATAATATATAAGGAGGGATATGATCTCCATGTATAATACATAAGGGGGGATATGATCACCATGTATAATACATAAGGGGGGATATGATCTCCATGTATAATACATAAGGGGGGATATGATCTCCATGTATAATACATAAGGGGGGATATGATCACCATGTATAATACATAAGAGGGGGATATGATCACCATGTATAATACATAAGGGGGGATATGATCTCCATGTATAATACATATAGGGAGGGGGGGGATATGATATGTATAATCTCCATGTATAATACATAAGGGGGGGGATATGATCTCCATGTATAATACATAAGGGGGGATATGATCTCCATGTATAATACATAAGGGGGGGGATATGATCTCCATGTATAATACATAAGGGGGGGGATATGATCTCCACGTATAATACATAAGGGGGGATATGATCTCCACGTATAATACATAAGGGGGGATATGATCTCCATGTATAATACATAAGGGGGGATATGATCTCCATGTATAATACATAAGGGGGGATATGATCTCCATGTATAATACATAAGGGGGGATATGATCTCCATGTATAATACATAAGGGGGGATATGATCTCCATGTATAATACATAAGGGGGGATATGATCTCCATGTATAATACATAAGGGGGGGATATGATCTCCATGTATAATACATAAGGGGGGATATGATCTCCATGTATAATACATAAGGGGGGATATGATCTCCATGTATAATACATAAGGGGGGATATGATCTCCATGTATAATACATAAGGGGGGATATGATCTCCACGTATAATACATAAGGGGGGATATGATCTCCACGTATAATACATAAGGGGGGGATATTATCTCCATGTATAATACATAAGGGGGGGATATGATCTCCATGTATAATACATAAGGGGGGGATATGATCTCCATGTATAAATACATCAGTGGTTCATATAGTGAACTCGGTGTAGAGTTATTCACCCTGAGGTCATCACAGAGGACAAGGGGGGGCACTCTTTACATCTGGAGTAAGAGAGATTTAATCTCAAAATACGGAAAGGATTCTTCACAGTGAGAGCTGTGAGAAGTGGAATAGATTCCCTCAAGAGTTGGTTCTGGCCAGCTCAGTGGATTGCTTTAAAAAAGGCCTGGATTGTTTCTTGGATACACAGAATATAACTGGATATAACATTTATAGGTAAAGTGGATCCAGGGAATATCCGATTGCCTCTCAGGGTATCAGAAAGGATTTTTTCCCCTGCAGCAGCAAATTGGATCATGCTTTGCTGGGTTTTTTTGCCTTCCTCTGGATCAATTGAGGGTATAGGATTATAACTTTTTTTTTTTGGTTGAACTGGATGAACTTTTGTATTTTTTCATCCAGACTAACTATAACTATGCAAGCAACTGGCCTCAGATATACAAGATGGAAGAAATCCTCCTACAGAAGTTGTACCGATCTATGCCATCTTTCCCCTACATCCATTCAAAGTGCAGAATTTAAACTGTATCTCTCAGCTCTGAAAAGCTGGAGGCAGGAAGCTGAAGTTACACTAAGTGAGGAGAGCTCTGAGAGCTGACTGGAGGAGAAGAGACCCTCCTCCACACAGCTCACAGGAACTGTGAAGCTGTCAGGAACAGCTGAGGCTGTCAGTCACAGTCTGTGCCCTCCCCTTCACCATTTTTCTCTTTGTGTAAGGGAAACTCATCAGAAGTGCCAACAGCAGAGGAACTAGGCAGCAGACAGAAATGATGCTTTGTAATCCTGAGACACGAAATTTGAAAAAAGCATATCCTTCTAGAATGTGCACTTGTCTCAATCCAGAGTACAAACACTTTAAGATCCTGCTACATCTGAATATCCATTTTAATAAAAACCTACTGCTGTAGATTTGATTATAAGTCTGAACATTGCAGCACGCCTGCTTAACTCCTCTCTACATTTAAATCGAGACCACACAATTGTTTAAAGCAGCTGTATTTAAAAACATTTCCCTGCATTATTTGTTAATGTGTTGGTCTCCTTACTATACTCTGGTATGGATGGAATGCTAGGAGAGGAAGAAAAAAAAAGAAAATAAAAGAAAAAAAAAAAAAAAAAAAAGAAGGCCTAGCTTCTGTGGTTAACAGATTTGTCCCCATTTATCACACTAATAAAAGGCCACAATACCTCAATTTTTTCTTCAATTAGCTGTTTGGCATGGTCAATCTGCTGTGGTGAGCCACGGATAATGAACATTTTAAAGTTGGGGTCACCGTTAGGTGGCGGTTGTCGGGAGATCTCCACAAATGCTCCTGTCTGCTGGTTAATTGCCTTGACGTTCTCCCCACCTGTGAAGCAGAAACAATCTATAAACTGAGGCCAGGAAAAACATTGAGAGAGTAACAACTGAGAAAATTAGCAATACATCCAAGACAGAAATGTTATAGTGTTGAGCTACTCATAACATGATTATTATTATTATACAGGATTTATATGGCGCCAACAGTTTGATCAGCACTTTACAATATAACTGGAGAGAATACAGCAACAATACAAGAGGGGTTAGGAGGGCCCTGCTCCTTGGAGCTTACAATCTAGTAGGGAGGGGCTAGTGGTACAAAAAGGTAGTAACTGTAGGGGATGGACTGGTAGGAAGAGTAGAAGATTCCATTATTTAAACATACAATAATACAAAAATAAATTGTGCGCAAATGCAAAAAAAAATAACGAATCATCAAAAAGTCTGTGCTCAATCAGCCCAAAGACCATAAATACTTGTGCTTCCACTAGTAGTGCTCCACACCAGAATGAATTCAGTGCTCCTCCACCTGAAATAGGATGGCCGCTCATTTCAGGTTGTGGACCTATATAGCAACATAGGTCTAACAAGCATGACCATTCCATAAACGAACTTCAGATGGCAGCAAAGGACTTGTACTGTATATTAACAGGGATGGGAATACTGATCACCCACAGGAACCTCCTCAGCACTCAGCATATAAAGGAAGATAGAACAGGCTCCAATTGTGTAAAACCATTTAATAACACAAACTGAGATAACAAAGTTTGCACTCGCAATATAGCAGAATATAAAATGCGTTGTCAGCATGAAAAATCCAAACTTCTTGTCCGCAAGTCCATAGCCGGAAGTGACGTCACTAAGCTCCGCCCCACGAGTTACACCACCAACCCATGTGGCTTCGTCAGGGAGGTGGGGCAGAGCTTAGTGATGTCCTTTGCTGCCATCTGGAGTCAGTTTCTGGAATGGTCATGCTTGCTAGACCTATTTTGCATACAAGTCTACAACCTGAGGCGAGTAACCATCCATTTCAGGTGGAGGGGCACTGAAATCATTCAGGTGTGAAGCACTATTAGTGGAAACACAAGAATTTATGATCTTTGGGCTGATTGTGCACTGAAAGACTTTGATGATTTGTTATATTTATTTTGCACTTTGGCACCGACTTTTTTGTTATATCATTGTATGTTTAAATGTTATGAGAAGCGCACCACTATTACTATATTTTTCACTCCATAAGATGCACCCACCCCCCCCCCCCCAAAAAAATGTGTGGAGCGAATGTGGAGCGGCTGGCCTGGTATTCCCGCCGCGTTTGAATACTGGGCCGGCCACTCGGCTTTTCTGTGCAGCAGAATCTACTCCTCGGTCCTACCTGTTCCTCGGTCCAGCGGTGTCCTCACTGTCCTTTTTCCCCCTGACGCCGGCATCTTTAGTGTGGGCACCCAGCTCTGACAGCTTGCGGTTTCACAGCCGGGTGCCCACTGCGCATGCGAGAAGCACTGCGCTTTTGAATGGTCTGGTAGCAGGTACCTGTCAAATTTGGGTACCAGCGCCCCCCCCCCCCCCCCCCCCCCCCCCCCCCCCCCCCCCCCCCCCCCACGGTCCTTTCCTGCACAATGCCCGCAGTCTCTGGTCATTTCCTGTACTAGGTCTGTCTGCAGTCTCTGGGTCATTTCCTGTACTTTGTCTTTAGTCCACTGGTTCAGAATATTTTTTTTTCTCGTTTTCCTCCTCTAAAACCTAGGTGCGTCTTATGGAGCGAAAAATATGGTATATTTTTGTTTTTGTTGTATATTGTGTGTGGGAACTAAGTGTTTTTTGCAGAAACTCATTTATTTATGGTAGTGCACATTGTTTTCTATATTATTAATGCATCCAAGAGGACAGTAAAGTGTAAAACACAAATATGGACTCACCTCGGCCAATTACCAGGCCACATTTATGAGTGGGAATAGAGAATGTCATTTCACCACCAGGAGGTCCCCATGGTCCTTGCCCTCTGCCTCTTCCTCTGCCACCTGGTGGCATGCCAGGGCCTGGGGGTCCAGGTGGACCACTCTGAAAGAAGGGAAAAAAAAAAAAAAAAGGCAATGAATATACAGAGATAAGATATTTTAAAGACTAAGTTCACCTTTGGAATGCTACATGTTCCATCGTATTTAGGGTGGAACACGTAACATGTCATAGCTCCTGCATCCTTTCCCCCCCACTCCCTGTGACAGCAGGTGGGGGATCCTCTCCCTGCACCCACTGTTATTTCAAAACAGTGCGGCCATGTGGGGCTCCATCCACACGACCGCATTATTCTGTAAATGAACTGCCAGGGCACTGGTGAGAGGCCTCGTAGTTCATTGATTCTTCCTGCAATTCAGTAACTGCCTGCCTGTATCAGAGGTACAGGCAGACAGTGTATGGAGGATCTGCAGGATTCTGGTATTGCACACAGGATCTGCTGAACACAGGTGCAATTGCTTTACAGACTCCAGCATAAAAATAATGCACTTTTTTTACCTGCAAAAAAAATGCTGGATTTTTTTTTTTTTTTTTTTTTTTTAAATAAAAAAGGTGAACTTATCTTTTAAATGCCTACAAATTTTTCATGACTTACCCTCAAACTCTGCAGCAGGTCCCCAATAATCCTGGCTGCATGGTCACACCTGTCTGGTGGACCCATGATGTGTGCTATCTTATCGGGACCAGTCCCATCATCTGTGTGGAAGGAGGCATAGTTAGTACAGGGATAGCAACCAACAAGGATCAAAGTGTTCAAAATGCATACAAAGTGCAGAAAAAAAAAAAAAAAAAAAAAACACATACCACACAGGCATAAGGTTCACCAGGAATAAAAAGTTGTGCAACATCTGATCTGCTTCAAACTTGCTGGGATTTGCTTTAAAGTTAAAAGCACGATTTCCAGAATAAAAATTGTTCCTACCAATTTTTAGATTTGTGCAGACTACTTGTAGTGGTGTACACCCCTGGCTCATTCCAAGCAAGTCTAAAGACCTGTACACACAATGAGAATATCTGACAAAATGATTGTCCATGTTTGTTTGTTTTTTTTTGCATGCTGTTCTCATATAGAAAGTGAAAAGGTTACTTAAGTTACGAAACTTGTTGTCCAACAGAGTAAAAATTAAAAAGTGAGGTAATGTATTGGAATTTTCGGACAAAAACAGAACTGATTAAACAAAAATTGTATGAGAACAATTTTCATGCTTGTCGCTTAGAATAATTGTGGATGAAAGCTGTGTACTAAATCAGAATATCGTACAAATCGCTTGGAAAGGGGTATTTTGCATACGATTTTCTGGTCATGTGTACTAGGCTTAAGATGCAGAGACTAACTCCAGGATGCTCAGTGGTGGAGCCAAAAAGACTAGCAGAAGATAACAGCGCAGTGGATTAAGCAACAAAATATAAATGCAGACAATACACTGCTGTAGGAGGGCACACTAGAGGGTAAATATCAGGGATGTTGGATTCCTAACACCCGACACCCAGGTAGGTAGTTTTTTTTTTTTTTTTTTTTAATCTTTAGCCCTACCTGCAGGCAAGCAGTGGGCTCACCTATCAGGTGGAAGCCTCTCCACAACACTACCCCCCCATGAGGTTTCCCAGGCTCCGTTTGCACATCTGCGGGCCTGGCTAGTGTAGGGAGAAGAGTGGACAAGTCCGCTCCACTCCCCTTCTTGTGCGGACCCAGAATTGTCGTTATGATGTCACTTCCAGGTCCCCGTTGAGAGATTGTAATGCAATCCCTGGGAAAGAACGTAATGCGGTGCGATGTGTACTGCATTACATTCAGTGGAGCAGAGGGGAGACATACAGGGTCTTTTAGACCTTGGATGTCTCAAAGAGAACATGTCACCAAAAATTGGGGACTTTGTAGGGGACTTTGTCCTTTAAGTGATGAAATGTTTGTTTTTTTTATTGTAAAGAATGAAAGTTACACCCAAGCACATACCATTACCCCCCCCTCAAAAAATAGAGGCCCCCACCCTCACATATACGCACAAACATAAAAGCACACGCTGTGGTGCCTACGCATGAAACCGTCGACTGCAATACACGTCACATATAACCGCGTACGCCAGAATGAGACCAATAATTCTAGCACCAGACCTCCTCTGTACACTATACTGGTGACCTATAAGGAGCTTTAAAAGTGTCAACCTATAGAAAATATAGGGTACAGACAGGGGCGGACTGGCCATCCGGAAACTCGGGCAGTGCCTGAGGGCCCGGGGTCAGTAGGGGGCCCCATGAGATGCCCCTGGTACCTTTTTCATAGGTTTTTTTTTTTTTTTAGTTTGGGCATGGACACAGGGGTCCCATGATCCCCCCTATTGCCCGGGGGCCCCATAGGTTGTCAGTCCGCCCGTGGGTACAGAAGTTAGTCACCATTTCATGAGCACGCACAAATTTAAGGTTTGACAAGTTGGATATTTACTCGCTGCAACCTTATCTTTTATAAAAAAAAAAAAATAAAAATATAGGGTAATTTTTTGCTTTTTTGTGCCCTAAAATTAACTTACTTGTATTTTTTACTAAAATTTTGCGGTAAAATCATGCGACATAAAAAATTGGAACTACCACTATTTTATTCTCTAGGGTTTCTGCTTTCAGAAAATATATAATATTTGGGGGTTTTATGTAATCTTCAGGCCTAAAATTATTTTTTTAAAAAGTGTGCAAAAAAACACAAACACGGCTCTGGCAGCGAAAGGGAAAGTATAACCCCTTGACCCACCCTTTCCTGTCGAGCAGCCAATCGTCCATCACACTGCAAGGTCTCTCCCTTGTAGAGGAAGAGGAGATAAACAGTGCAATGTTAAAAATATTACACATTTCATTTGCTATAATGCCTCGTTTTTAAAAGCCCCAGGCATTCCTAAAATCACCTCCGAGTTAAATATGGTTTTGGTAAAAAAAAAAAAAAATAATTTTTTTTTCTGGACAAGTAGATTGTCATGAGGGACAAGTAGATTGCGGCCCCGATTTAGTCCCTGGACAAGTAGTTTTTTTTAAAAAAAGGTCTACAACCCTGAAATATGCCATAATGTGCAAGCAGTAAAGAGTTCCACTTGGCTCTAATCTTTCATTGCTGTACTGCTGGTCTCTAAACATCATCTTAATGCAAAAGATAGGCACACAGCTTTAAAATACGCAAACTGACTCTTGAGAAACCACAATCCACATATTAACTGTTGTAAATACATATTGTATACATAGTTTCTATAATGTACGATAAAGCTATAGCACTTAGCTAGCATCTGGCAACCAGAACACAGATATTATCAACCACCCCAAAATAATTTTACCCCCAAAAAGGACACAGGTTGGATCTTGAGTAAAAAGACCAGCGTGCTCTGTGAATTTAAGCAGTTCTAAAGGCAGAAAGGTTTTGTTTTTTTTTTCCAACCTAAAGCATCAAGGTAAAAAAAAACCCCACCCCCAGCTCCCACCTTTACTCATCTGAGCCCGATCTCGATCCAGCAATGTGCACGAAAGCCAAGGCTCCCCCCCTCTCCTCATTGGCGCACACACAGCAGCAGGAACAATTGGATGCTGTAATTACAGTCAGTGAGGTGGGAGTGGGGGACATGGCTTGGGAGGGAGTGGGAGGAGCACCAGCAGGGGAGGATTGGGGTTGCTCTGTGCAAAACCATTGCAGAGAGCAGGTAAGAATAATATGTTTGGGATTTTTAAAAGAGAATGTAAATCTTAAATTACGTTAAGACTTTTTGCTTATTATGGATGGGATTTGGGTGTTGGATCACCAAGCCTTCAGTTCAGTCCTGATGGACTAAGAGTAAAATACCAGAGACAGAAAGCCTCCTCCTCACCTTGTTTAAACTGTATCCTGACACCAGCATCATTCTGAATCTTCTTAATCATCTCCCCATTCCGTCCAATGACCACCCCCACAGAATGCCGTGGGACAGGTACCTGCAATAAAAGATGGACCAATGAAAAACACATCTTTCGGGCCAGCATTCAGTACCGGAAATGAACTGATACTTACATCTATTCCTCCTCGGGAACCATATTCATTTCCTCCTCCAAAGTTACCTTGATCTCTTTCTCTCAAGAGATCCATAACCATCTCACAGGCTTGCTGAAAGAAAAAAAAAAAAAAAAAAAAAAAAAGAAAATTATATATACAAAAGAGGATTAAACACAATGAAAGCATTTCACTGCATCGTAATCGGAGGTCACAGCAGACCGAAAAGGATGCGCTCAGTAACATAGCACAGCTATAGTGCAACAGTGGATGCTCACTGCTCTTTCGGAGTTTAAAATGTATTAACTAAGGGACCCATTTATAAGGCTGTCACCGCAGTGATTGCTCCTTACCATGGCCTGCATTTTAAGTGGCATTCCTAGAAAAAAAAATAGGCCATGGTATGGAGCCTGTAGTGTCCCACAGATTTCATTGCTACCCAAAGTAACTAAATACAAAAATAAAAGTAATCTATGCGTATATATTTATTTTTACTTTGTGATCCTGCCAGTCTTTCTGTCCTAGGATGATAGCGCTCACTCACTGTACTGTGTTCTCTGGGGAAGCAGCATGGTCATCCTAGGCCAGTAAGTTTTAGGACTACAAAACACCACCCACTAATTCTCCGTAACATTATAGGGGATGTTTTGGAGAGATTGACTGGGCAGTGCTGTTAACAGTGCTGCAAGACACTGCAGAGTGCGCAGGGCTAAACTGGATTTCTGGAAGGATTAGGTTTTTTTTTCTATTTCAATGGTTTTTATTAATTTTTAAACAGTATAAAAGAGAGGCAATAAAACACGCCCACGCAGGGGCTATCAATTGCACAGATAAAAAAAATGCAAAATAAAAAAAAAAAAAAGGAAAAAAAACGGCGCTCTAATGCCAACAGGGCAAAAGGTACGCCCATGCAGGGGCTATCAATGGCACATAAATTACAAAACAATAATGTAACTGACAAAAACAGCTAAATGCAGCAGTCCAGTCACACCAAAACAGAGAGAGAATGAAAAAAAAGGAGGGGAAGAAAAAGAGAGAGAAAAAAAAAAGGGAGGGGCAAGGGGCAGGGGTTTAAGAGTGCCAATACCGAACGCCATTACATCCCCAGACTAGCCAGGGAGAGTGTGGGAAAGGCATATTGCAACCACGGCTCCCATATTTTCAAAAAGATTAGGTTTTTTTTTTTTACTTATTTAAAACCCCTTGCCTACCAGGCACTTATACCCCCTTCCTTACCAGGCCAATTTTCAGCTTTCAGCGCTGCCGCACTTTGATTGACAATTGCGCGGTCATGCAACATTGTACCCATATGAAATTTTGATCATTTTTTTCTCACAAATAGAGCTTTCTTTTGGTGGTATTTAATCGCCACTGGGCGCTTTACTTTTTGCGCTATAAATTAAAAAAAGTGCAAAAAATTTGAAAAAAAAAAAAAGTTTATTTGTATCTTTTATAAAATTTTTCAAACAGGTATTTTTTCTCCTTCACTGATTTGCGTTGATGAGGCGGCACTGATGGGCACTGATAGGCGGCACTGATGGGCACTGATAGGCAGCACTAAAGGGCACTGATAGGCAGTACTAATGAGGTGGCACGGATAGGCGGCACTGATAGACAGTACTAATTAGGGGTCACGGATAGGCGGCACTGATATGCAGCACTGATAGGCAGCACTGATGATGGGTACTGATAGGCGGCACTGACTGGCACAACCCCTGGGCACTGGTGGGAGGGGCACAGGTGGGTGGGCACAGGTGGGTGGCACTGGTGGGCGGGCACAGGTGGGTGGGCACAGGTGGGTGGCACTGCAGAGTGGCACAGGTGGGTGTACTGCTGGGCACAGGTGGGGGCACTGCTGGGAACGGGTGGGCGGGGCTAGTGGGCGCACTGCTGGGCGGAACTTGCGGGTGTCACTGCTGGGCACCGATCATCAGGGCACTGATCATTCAGTGCCCTGATGATCGGTGCCGATCCCCGCTCTGACAACTGCCGGTTCTCGGCAGTACTTTCCTCACGATCTGACAGCGTGAGGAAAGTGCAGCCGAGAACCGGCACTTGCATTTCCCTGTGATCAGCGTGTCATTGGACACCGCTGATCACGTGGTAAAAGGCCGGTGGGATCGGCCTTTCACCGCATCACGTGATCAGCTGTGTCCGTAGGACACAGCGATCACGGAGATCGCCGGGTGCGCGCAGGAGAGCGCGTTCTGGGAGGATTTATGACGTCCACTCAGAACTGGCCGGCCGCGGTGAAGCCGTCATTCGGCTATGCGCGGTCGGCAAGAGGTTAACAAATAATTATAATAGTGATAGTGTGTGTTAAAAGACCAAAGAGAGCAAATTCAAGACCAAATTCAAGTAGCTCACGGTTTGGATATATCCAGGTGCATCTCAAATTAGAAAATCATCAAAAAGTAAATTTATTTCAGTAATTCAATTCAAAATGTGAAACTCGCAGATTCATTACACGGTGAAATATTTCCAGCATTTCCATTTAATTTTGATGATTATGGCCTACAGCTAGTGAAAAACCAAAATTCAGTAACACATAAGACCAATAACACAAAAAAAAAAAAAAAAAAAAAAAAGATTTTTAATACAGATATGTTTGCTTACTAAAAAGTATGTCCATGTACAGCATAGTATGCACTCAGTACTTGGTCGGGGCTCTTTTTGCATGCATTACTGCATCAATGCGGCGTGGCACGGAGGCGATCAGCCTGAGGCATTATGGATGCCCAGGTTGCTTTGATAGCGGCCTTCAGCTCGTCTGCATTGTCGGGTCTGCTGTCTCATCTTCCTCTTTACAATGTCCCACAGGTACTCTATGGGGTTTAGATCAGGTGAGTTTGCTGGCCAATCAAGCAAAGTGATACCATGATCATTAAACTGGGTATTGGTACTTTTGGCAGTGTGGGCAGGTGCCAAGTCCTGCTGGAAAATGAAATCTGCATCTCAATAAAGCTGGTCAGCAGAGGGAAGCGTGAAGTGCTCTAGAATTTCCTGGTAGAGGGCTGAACTGATTTTGGACTTCATAAAACACAGTGGACCAACAACAGCAGATGACATGGCTCCACAAATCATCACTGACTGTGGAAACTTCACACTGGACCTCATGCAACTTGGATTCTGTGCCTCTCCACTCTTCCTCCAGACTCTGGCACTTTGATTTCCAAATGAAATGCAAAATTTACTTTGGACCTTTGAGCAACAGTTCAGTGCTTTTTCTCCTTAGCCCAGGTAAGACACTTTTGACGTTCTCTGGTTCAGGAGTGGTTTGACTCAAGGAATACGACAGTCTTAGCCCATATCCTGGATACGTCTGGATATGTCCTGGCTTGCGAAGCACTGACACCAGCCATAGTTCACTCTGCGTGAATCTTCCTCAAATTCTTGAATGGCCTTTGCTTCACAATCCTCTCAAGGTTGCGGTTATCGCTGTTGCTTGTGCACCTCTTTCTACATCTTAAGCAATGACGTTTTGTGACTTACCCTCTTGTGGATGGTGTGAATGACCGTCTTCTGAACAACTGTCAGCTCAGCAGTCTTCCCCATGATTGTACAACCTACTGAACTAAACTGAGAGACCATTTAAAGGCTCTGGAAACCTTTACAGGTGTTTTGAGTTAATTAGCGGATTAGAGCGTTACACCATGAGTCTACAATATTCAACTTTTTCACAATATTCTATTTTTCTGAGATACTGAATTTTGGGTTTTCACTAGCTGTAAGCCATAAAATCATCAAAATTAAAAGAAAAATGCTTGAAATATATCACTCTGTGTGTAATGAATCTACACTGCTGAAAAAAATTAAAGGAACACTTTTTAATCAGAGTATAGCTATATAGTTAAACTCCTGGGATATTGATCTGGTCAGTTAAGTAGCAGAGGAGGTTGCTAATCAGTTTCAGCTGCTTTGGTGTTAAAGAAATTAACAACAGGTGCACTAGATGGGCAACAATGAGACGACCCCCAAAAAAGGAATGGTTTTACAGGTGGAGGCCACTGACATTTTTTCCCTACTCATCTTTTCTGACTGTTTTGCATTTGGCTAGGGTCAGTGTCACTGCTGGTAGCATGAGGCCATACCTGGACCCTACAGAGGTTGCAGAGACAGTCCAACTCCTCCAGGATGGCACATAAATACGTGCCATTGCCAGAAGATTTACTGTATAAAACCAGTTATTTACAATGGGTTTCACACACGCACACTTTCTTGCCACTGTATAGATCTCTTAAGCCATCAGGCATAGAAGTCTTCAACATTACCTGCACTTTGAATGGTTCTCCAACAATTCGAAGAGGCTTGTCCACATTAGTGCCCTGTGAGGCATCTTGAATAAGGATCATCTTGACCCCAGCACGCTCCTGAAATGACAGAGTTGTCAGCAGTGCACCCACACAGAGTTTATAGCACATAAAACAAAAAAAAAAAGGAAAACCAAAAAAAAAAAGGAAAACCAAAAAAAAAAAAAGGAAAACCAAAAAAAAAAAAAAAAAAAAAAAAGGAAAACCAAAAAAAAAAAAAAAAAAAAAAAGGAAAACCAAAAAAAAAAAAAAAAAAAAAAAGGAAAACCAAAAAAAAAAAAAAGGAAAACCAAAAAAAAAAAAGGAAAACCAAAAAAAAAAAAAAGGAAAACCAAAAAAAAAAAAGGAAAAACAAAAAAAAAAGGAAAAACAAAAAAAAGGAAAAACAAAAAAAACGCACACACACATTCCCTAAAAAATGGACTAAACCACCTCAAAATATATGTGTTTGGGTGGGGTGGGGGGGGGCTTCGGTGGAACCACAGGGCATGAAGGGGGACACTGGAGAGCGAAACTCCGAGAATGGTCATATGCAGAACATTTTTCAGACATTATCTCTTGGAGAGCATGGTTAAGCAGGGAGGGCAGCAGCACAGCCTTTTCTAACTCTTTAGGGTAAATAGTGCTGAGGATTGATGTAGAAATCACTACTGAAGGACAGAGGGACAGAAATGTCAGCATGCCATCATCATTTTTTTTCCTCATCAGTTATTACATACTTGTAACTGTTTGATGGTTTCTCCACCCTTGCCAATAATCAGCCCAGCTTTTCCGGCAGGGATCATGATCTCTTGTAAAGATCCGTTCTGTCCATTGGAGTTGTCATGGAACTGACTAGGTGGTCCCCCACGACCCCGTGCAACTATTTCATCAAGCATCATCTTGGCTTTTCTGCAAGAAAGAGAGACGGTCAGATGAGGAAACGTATTAAAAAGGGAATATAGTTTCTAAAGTAATTAATCTTCTCAAAGGAGCCAACATGACATACAGCATAGTTTATAAATGTTCCAAATAGTAAAAAATTTGCTATTTTTCAGCCATGGTCACGTGACCACAAACTGGCAGTGAGGTTCACTATTTTCCACATAAACCTGATAATCGAGACAATGTCACATGTGCCCAAACGTATATCTTGATACAATGTCATCTCAAAACGCAGCATTACTTCACGTCACTCACTCTTTCCAGCAACGGAACATGTAGGATAATGTAATGTTGAGGGCTGACAAGACATAGGAAATGTAATTCGTATGAGTGAAAGCCTTGTCTGCCCTCAAAACGGAAATAAAGGTGAAAGATGCGATCTGGCAGGTTTAACAGGTAAATCTGATTTTTTTTTTTTTTTTTTTTTTTTTAAGGAGGAATATTACATAAAAGTCACTTATGTCTATGGTAAAGGGAATTTTTATTAACTGTCTGGGATGCACTTTAGGGACACTTTGCACACAAGGCATTAGTACAGGGGTGGGCAAACTTTTTTGACTTGAGGGCCGCAATGGGTTCATATATTGGACCCGGGGGCCGGACCAAGAGTAGATGTATGATGTGTATGTGTCATCCATAGTAAGTATAGTAATATTCCCCCATAGTAAGCATAGTAATTAATCCCCCATATAGTAATTCATCCTCCATAGTAATTCATCCCCCATATAGTAATTCATCCCCCATAGTAATTCATCCCCCATATAGTAATTCATCCCCCATAGTAATTCATCCCCCATAGTAATTCATCCCCCATATAGTAATTCATCCCCCATATAGTAATTTCCTCCATAGTAATTCATCCCCCATATAGTAATTCATCCCCCATATAGTAATTCATCCCCCATATAGTAATTCATCCCCCATATAGTAATTCCCCTCTGTGTCAATTTACTTATCTTTGCTCCGCGCGTTCCTCTCGCCGTGTTCCCGCGCCGTTCCGGTCTTCAGGGCGGACTGTGAGAGGAGCCTAGCTCCCCTCACGTGCGTCACGCTGCCCCGCCTACACACATCCTGACAGCCTCACATCACGCTCCGCGGGCTGGATTAAAAGGTCTGCCGGGCCGTATACAGCCCGCGGGCCGTAGTTTGCCCATTGCTGCATTAGTAGTTTACAGTTTATTATTCACGTGTTTACTTTAAAGCCAAAACTCTTTGCATCACTTTGGCCTTGACATTTACTGCTCTGCCAGTTGAACAAGTGTGCACGGCATTAGGTAACAGAATTTAGCCTGCAAGGCCCTATGTTCTACATAGTTATAACTACTTAGGAGCTGGAAAACTGTGTGCACCATTAGGACGAGATCAAGCAGCGGTCAAAAGGTCAGACTTTAAAGGTCCTTTCACCAGCAAATGCCAACTCCAAGGGTTATCCTCAGCCAAAGTAAATAATGCTGAATATGAGGATACACATAAAATATTTAATGTGTAAGCATGCAGAATTAAGACTGAAGCAAAGTTAGATTCTTGCAAAAGGCTGATTGCGGTGGATTTTCTTACATAACAGTATTAGCCCTTCTGTCCTAGCAGAAACACTGCTCTCCATGCCCATGCTCCCACCAAACGAGCACCAAGCACTCAGGTCACTTAAGAAGCCACAAGGAGAAATGCATAACACTGGCTGGTGATAGGGGGGGGGGGTATGGAAACCTCTCTACAGGTTCACTTTAACAGCTGAGGGAACTTTAGACCAGATTCTGGATATAGATACATACTGCACCTAATAGCTCACAACTAGGGTACAGACATACTTACTGAACTGAATCTGGAGAGCCTGTCAACGACACAACTCTGTCTGGTAAACCTCCACTGTCTACAGAAAAAAAAAAAAAAAAAAGGAGGGGAAAACAAAAGTTACAGTACACTGAACTGTTATTTATGCAACATGGGTTTTTAAAGGATAAGTTCACCTAACAGGTTACTCTTATTTAGGGTGTACCATGTAACAATGTACCTGCCCGCAACTACCCCCCCCCCTTCCCCCATTGTGATTCTCCCCCCAGCACCCACTGTCAAAATTTGAAAAGCGTGGCTGTGCAGGGTTTCGGCCGCAGAGCTGTGCCATTCATTCACAGAGACCTGTGAATGAACTAACCACAAGTACCATCTGACACCATAGCAGACAGCTTGAATTCTCAATGAACGAAGAGGGCACTGGGTGAGCACTTTGTAGTTCACTGAATTTTCCTTGACTTAAAACGGTCTTTCCGTATGGGAGGTACAGGCTGACAGAGTCTGCAGGATCCTGGCATTGCACTCGCAATCTGGCGATTGTTGGTGTAATGCTTTACAGTCTGCAGTGTAAAAAAATAAATGCACTTTTAACCGCAAAACTTTTTTTTTTATTTATTTATTAAATACACACAAAAGGTGAACTTACCCTTTAACCACTTCCTGACCAGGGCAATTTTCAGCTTTCAGCGCTATCACACTTTGAATGACAATTGCGCGGTCATGCAACACTGTACCCAAATGAATTTTTTTACCATTTTTTTTTGAGACAGATAAAGCTTTATTTTGATGGTATTTATTCACTGCTGGGATTTTTTTTTTTTTTTTGCTATGTAAATGAAAAAGTCCAAAAATTTTGAAAAAAGTGTTTTTTTTTAATAAAATTTTGCAAATAAATAATATTTCATCATAAATCTTGGCCAAAATTTAGTCCATTATCTTTTTAGTAAAAAAAAAAAAAAAATCCAAATTAGTTTATAACCAGAGTATAATTTTTAAACATTTTTTTTTTACATTTTTATTTTATTTTTTTATTATTATTTTTTTTTTTTTTACATACGGTCACCCTAGCAGTACAGTGTCACCATGGTACTACTTGTGGGGGGTGATGAAGATTTTTTTTTTTACACTGATTGCTTTTACACCCATATAGGATGTAAAAGCAATCATTTCTCTCTCTGTCTGCATTCTTGCACTCATTGAGAAGTACTGAGTGAGCTGTGATTGGTCACAGCTTGTCACATGGTACAAGGCTGTTGTGAATAGCCTTGTACCATGTGACCTCTGATCAGTCACAGATTTCACACGTAGTAAGCAATGATGTCACAAGTGACATCTTGCTTACTACTTTGCATGTGATCACTGATTGGCCAATCAGTGATCACATGATCGGGACCTCGTACAGAGGTCCTTGTCCGACGATCGGTGTTTCACTGTGTCCGGAGGACACAGCGGGCACCGGATCGCGGTGCTGCGCGCTCCCAGGGAGCGCGCACAAGCAGGGGGCGGGGAGGCCGTTTATAAACGCCCACCCGACCCTGCACTGCCACCGTCCGGCCGTTTATATGCAACGGCCGGTCGGGAAGTGGTTAAACCCTCATATTGGCAGCTCTATGTCACAAAGACCGGTCTGATTGGTACCCACTTGCACAACCAATCCTGACAAAAAAAAAAAAAGTTGAAAACGTCTTACCTGGAGAAATCTGAACTTTACATCCCGACTCTTGTTGGATCTTATTTATCTGTTCCCCACCACGGCCGATGACTGAAAGAGACATGGAAAGTTAGCTTAACCAGTGCAATAAGTAAACTGATCACTTAAAAGGAATAAGAATTAACTTAAGCAGGGGCCACAATATGCCATATACAAACAACAAAAAACCTTCTACTCAAAGCTACAGCTGTGGCATTCCTGTCACACATTGTACAGGTCACTCATGCACAGTGCACTGCAGGAGGTTTCCCGCATGTTAGGATCTGCAACCTTTATTACATCCCGATGTGTGTAACTGGGTTTGAAGGCTCATAAGTTGGACAGAAATAGGTACAGACAATACACAAGATACTCTGTCATGTGACCTGCCAAAACCACATGGCTGGCTCTCCTCCAAATCACAAAGCTTTCTCTGCTCCATGAGGAATTGATAGATACAAACAGACTGATTTTTATGGGGATGGGCTGCAGTGTGAGTAATGGAGAGGACAGAGATATTCATCTTGTGTCATAAATGATCCCCCCCCCCCCCCCCCAAATCCCAGTCTTTGTCCTCTTATTATGACATGCATTTGAACCGTTTCCCAGATCGCAGTAGGACAATGGTCACTATTTTTAAACTCTTTAAATGTGTGTTTATGCCCACTGTCATGCCTGGAGCAGAATCTGCAAATTTGTGACTTCCCGTCCTGAAACCATATGTATTCCATAAATATCAGTGATAAAAGAAAAGCAGCCTCTCCGCAAATGTCTGAGAGATGTTCTGCAGCAACACCTAACACACTGTGACAACACTGGCAGTTGGCCACCTAAGGCCATCACAGACTGAGAAAAGAAATTGGCTGCATGACACCATAGATGTGGGATACAAATGGTTTTATACAGATTTGTTCCATTATCATACTATACTGTCATCATTTTACTTCTTTTCCAATATAAACCAGCACAAAACACAAATGTTAAAATAATAAGTGAATATAAAATTATTATTTTATAAATAATCTTTAAAGTCCAGTGATAAATGTAAGTGACCACAAACCCCTGACATATAAAAACTAAAAAAAGTTATTTCATAAATCAAAAGTCCAGTGGGTTTGTGGTCACTTACATTTATCACTGGACTTTAAAGATTATTTATAAAATAATAATTTTATATTCACTTATTATTTTAACATTTGTGTTTTGCGCTGATTTATATTGGAAAATTTGTTTTGGTTTATATACCTATGCACAGCAGCATTTCGCTTATAATTGTTTGTTAGTAGATTGGTCCTGGGGCGCGGTGTGTTTTTTTGATTTAAAATCATTTTACTTCTGCATCATGAAAAATGTCATCTTTTACAACAGCTGTCCTTTCAGTAATGAATCAGGAAATATTAAAATACTCACTAAGTCCCACCATGCCGTCTGGGACACGATACTCTTCAGTCAGTGTAGCCGACCTACAAGCAGAAATGAGATCATCATATTCCCAATTCTCTAGAGGGAGAGACAAAAGAGGATAAGATATAAACGTGTGACAAAAGTTTGCAAAAAATCTTACCGAGGAGGAAGAACTGGCGCAAGTGGCTGGGCAATAGCTACAATAATATGAAGACAAAATAAGATTAACAAAAGTAGGCAACCTCTAGACTGACACTAGTCTCCTCACTGAAGTGGAACTGCAGCCAAAAGCCATTTCAAAACCACTTCACTGAAGTAATATTACTGTGAAGACACTGGACAGGTTGAAGGCTAGGTTCACATCTGTGCGGGTATGCATGTAAAAATCGCATGTAATCCAGCACCCACATACAAAATGCACTGCTTTTACAAAAACGCGTGGGTAGGGGCGGACTGACCATTTGGAAACTCGGGTACTGCCCGAGGACCTGGGGTCAGTAGGGGGCCCCATGAGATCCCCCTGGTACCTTTTTCATAGGCTTTTTTGAGTTTGGGCAAGGACACAGGGGCCCCATGATCCCCTATTGCCCGGGGGCCCCATGAGTTGTCAGTCCGCCCCGTCAGTGCGCGTGGGGTACCATTAGCTGTTAATGGCACCACCAGTCACTGAAAACGGCCGTGCGGTTTCCACACTGCTGCATTTTAACCACTCACCTACAGGGCACTTTTACCCCCTTCCTGCCCAGGCCAATTTCCAGCTCTCAGCGCTGTCACACTTTGAATGACAATTGCACGGTCATGCAACACTGTACCCATATGAAATTTTTTTGCATTTTTCTGTAACAGAGCTTTATTTTAGTGGTATTTAATCACCTCTGGGTTTTTTATTTTTTCTTAAACCAAAAACCACTGAAAATTTTGAAAAAACAAAAACAAAAAGTTTTTTTTTCTTAGTTTTTGTTATAAAATTTTGTAAATAAAGTGATTTTTCTCCTTCACCGATGTGCGCTAATGAGGCTGCACTGATGGGCACTGATAGGTGGCGCTGATTGGCATTGACAGGCAGCACTCATATGCACTGATAGGCAGCACTGACGGACACCGTTAGGCGGCACTGATGCACTCTGATAGGCAGCACTGATAGGTGGCACTGACTGGCACCTCAGATGGGCACTGATATGTGGCACTGATAGGTGGCACTGCTGGGGCTACACAGATCACAGGGCACACAGATCATCAGTGCTCTGATGATCTGTGTACATGTCCCCTCCGAGGAATGCCAATTACCGGCTCTCCTCTCCTCACGAGCTGTCAGCGTGACAGCATTTCTCTGTTTAAATGTGATCACCTCTGATTGGAAACAGCTGATCACATGACCGAGCCGACATCTTCGACTCTTTCCATGGATCGGTGATCTGCTGTGTCCGAGGGACACAGAGCACCGCCGATGGCCGCACTGCACACTCTGGGAGCCGCGCATGCGCGGTTAAATGGGAGGGCGTCATATGACGTCCTCCCAGAACCAGAGAACTGCCTTGCGTCTGTAATTTTACTATATGGCGGGCGGGAGGCGGTTAAAAAAAAGGTGCAGGGGGCCTTTTTCCTGCGGGAAAGGCAGTTAAAGAAGCCCATTCCAAATGAAAGGGCTGCTGTGCCCACGGAAACGCAGAAGTGCAAAGATGTAAACCTAGCCTCACAACAGGTTAAGTGCCCCGTTTATTAAATTTGAATTCAAGCTTAAACCTAACTAGCCTTAAAAATGCAACTTTCACCCTCCTAGCCCCTATGCTAACTAACCTGTGTAAAAAAAAAAAAAAAAATATATATACATACTCATTTTCAGCCCGCTACGGTCATGTAACCGGGCTCCGTGTCAGCCAGCAGCAGTTCCAGGGGAGAGAAGGTAGCCTATAGGTTATATCTCCATCAGTCTAGGCTTTACTAGCTGTTGGCGGAGTGCTCTCTACTCTCCCCTGCAGTTGCTGCGGGCTGACACAGGTGATCACATGACCAGATCAGAGCAGGCTGGGGGGGGAAACAAAAAAAAAAAAAAAGTATACACAATTATTTATTTTTTTTTACAAGCAGGTAAGTCAACATAGGTGTTAGAAGTGGCATTTTAAGGAGAGGTAGGTTTAAGCTAGGGCAAACAAATTGGCAGTGGAAGGCTCAAATGTAATGCAGCATCACAGAGCACTGAAGAGACCTATACAAAATGAACCACCTAAACACCCACCCACTCACCAATGACCCCCCCCCCCCCCCACACACACACACTTTAACAAATTAACTTTTCTGCCCCCCCTGTATGTGTCTTGTGAGATGGGAAAATGGCAGCTTTTAAACAGAGGCTTTGAGACACTTTAAACTAAATATCATCATGGTTAAAAATCAGTTTTACACATTTGATCGGCAGGTCATTTTGTGGACTTTTCATCCTGAAAAACTGGTGCTGCCAATACTATCAACCTAAGGAACTACAGCAGTAGTTTAGCTCTTTTTTTTTTTTTTTTTTTTTTTTTTTTTTTTAAAATAAAACCAATGTGAGGTTTTGAGGGCATATAGTACCTCTTAAAGTGAACTCCATTTATCATCTTAATTGCAGCTTGGACTGATGAAAGTATACATATTTCATACCTAAGACTGCTGGAGAAGCTGACAATCACTGTAGTTGTCCATGCTATTACAGAAAGAGCCATGACCACTTGGGTCCTGCACTGGGCAAGCTTCCCATCTGACTACAGGGGGTGGGGGGGGGGGGGTCTCTCGATAGGCATTTCTGCCATTTACTAAACAACTTTTATTTATTTTAATTAATACAAGGTAATTTCTAATTGGACAAGGTGGAGAGGATGGGCAATTAATTTCCACCTTGTCCAGGATTACCTTGTATTTGTTCTAAGAAATGCATGTCCAGAAATCGGCATCAGACCTGAGCAAGCAGCCCTCAGTGATCAGTGTGCAGAAGGGAATCTACTCAGCACAGGACCAGAAAGATTGCTGATATACCTGTAACAGCGCCGACTACTAAAAATGATCGCCAGCTTTGCAAGCATACCTGGCTTCAGTTTTAAAGGCCAATTCCAGGAATAAAAAAAAGAAACCGAAAAGAAAAAAAAAAAAAAAAACAAACACCACATGCAAGAGAGTAAATGCTTGTCAAGACTGGAGGTAGAGGAACACAGTATAATACTCCTCTTTGTGGCAGACTCACTCAGTGCAACCAGTCCCTCAATGTTTCTTCAATGAGACAAGGCCATGGTCACACAATGACAGTACAAGGCAGGCTGGCAATATACACGCCAGAGAGGGACAGTCCACAAACTGATATGGAGGAATAAGTGAACAAGCAATTACACTTGCAGTGTGGCGTGGAAGCCCCTCATTTTTTTTAAAAAAAAGTTTTAGAATTCTTGAAGTATTTAAGGCATGAGTTGATACAGCGAGGAAGAGGCTCTATGTGCTCTTTTTTGCAGTAAATAAACGTTTAATAAATAAAAATTGATCACTGCTGGACTTTTCGTATGCTCTAAATCTGTGCACATATATTGTAGTTACCAAGCTTAGCCCTTGCTCAAGTTGTTAAAATGTGGACAATAATAGATGGCTCTAAAAAGGTACAAGTGGACTTCTACTTTTATTATTAAAAAGGTTTCACAACAGAAAAATCAGACAAATTGCACCTCAGCCATCAGTGATCACTTTGGAGAATTTGTGATTGCACAGCCTACTTTATTAAAAACAGATAGAACTGTCTGCAGCAATCCTATTTCGGAGGTCAGTGCTCCAGAATAGGAGTAATATATGACATACAGCTGTGAGACAGACGGACATACAAACCCAATAGAGGATCTGACCCCTGCCCAGTCTATACAATGCACAATATATGACCCCTGCCCAGTCTATACAATGCACAATATATGACCCCTGCCCAGTCTATACAATGCACAATATGATATGACCCCTGCCCAGTCTATACAATGCACAATATGATATGACCCCTGCCCAGTCTATACAATGCACAAATATATGACCCCTGCCCAGTCTATACAATGCACAATATATGACCCCTGCCTAGTCTATAAAATGCACAATATGATATGACCCCTGCCCAGTCTATAAAATGCACAATATATGACCCCTGCCCAGTCTATACAATGCACAATATATGACCCCTGCCCAGTCTATAAAATGCACAATATATGACCCCTGCCCAGTCTATACAATGCACAATATGATATGACCCCTGCCCAGTCTATACAATGCACAATATGCTATGACCCCTGCCCAGTCTATACAATGCACAATATGATATGACCCCTGCCCAGTCTATACAATGCACAATATGATATGACCCCTGCCCAGTCTATACAATGCACAATGATATGACCCCTGCCCAGTCTATACAATGCACAATATGATATGACCCCTGCCCAGTCTATACAATGCACAATATGATATGACCCCTGCCCAGTCCATAAAATGCACAATGATATGATGACCCCTGCCCAGTCTATAAAATGCACAATATATGACCCCTGCCCAGTCTATAACAATGCACAATATGATATGACCCCTGCCCAGTCTATAAAATGCACAATGATATGACCCCTGCCCAGTCTATAAAATGAATGATATGACCCCTGCCCAGTCTACACAATGCACAATATGATATGACCCCTGCCCAGTCTATAAAATGCACAATATGATATGACCCCTGCCCAGTCTATAAATGCACAATATATATGACCCCTGCCCAGTCTATACAATGCACAATATGATATGACCCCTGCCCAGTCTATAAAATGCAACATAAAAGTTATTAACAGGTCTGAAACCCCAAACATCGTCAGAAGAGAGGAACTTTGGTAATATGGGAAAACAAAGACCAAAACTAGAAGAAAAGCAGTCACACTTACGTTCACTTTGCGTTGCCAGTTTCTTGCACTCTGGTTGGTCTGAAAAGCAAATAAAGACAGTGAATGCCAGATACATAGTGCGCACAACATTTTTTAAAACAGTGTTTCTCTTTATGCTACTTTATTCTTCATGTTAAGTTCTTATCGCCTCAGTTTCCAGACTGAAGAAAAAAAAAAAGAAGAAGAACACAACACACAATCTTACCTCCATCTTCAAGCTGCCTCTTTTGACCGCCAAAGTTAAATTCTGGGGTGTTATTCACTCCACCGGTGGCATCACGCGCCAATTTTTGCTGCAATCTGGAAGACAAAGGGATTCTTTAAAAATCGACAAAAAAAAAAAAAAAAAAGGTGCACCCAATAAGATCTGTCCGCATCAAAATTATAGCAAAGGGATGGATAAAAATGATAGGTAACCAACAAAGCTAAATGAATGCAGGTGGCAACCAAGTCTGAACATTCCTCTGTAACCAGAGTAAACGGGCAGAGTAAACCAGTGGGGCACAAAGCCAACCCAAGGAAAGCTTCACGGGAAACAAAGGGCAATTAGCGAAATGATCTCCAAAGCTGGCATTCTGCTGTGACACCGTCAAGTGTTGACACTTCGGTCTCATTCACAAGGGCCTCAGCTAACACACATATTGGTTTAACCACTTCCCGTCCGGCCGTTGTATATAAACGGCCGGACGGTGGCACTGCAGGGTCGGGTGGCCGTCTATAAACGGCCTCCCCGCACCCTGCTTGTGTGCGCTCCCTGGGAGCACGCAGCACCGCGATCCGGTGCCCGCTGTGTCCTCCGGACACAGTGAAACACCGATCGTCGGACGGGACCTCTGTACGAGGGTCCCGATCATGTGATCACTGATTGGCCAATCAGTGATCACATGCAAAGTAGTAAGCAAGATGTCACTTCTGACATCATTGCTTACTATGTGTGAAATCTGTGAATGATCACAGAGGTCACATGGTACAAGGCTATTCACAACAGCCTTGTACCATGTAACAAGCTGTGACCAATCACAGCTCACTCTGTATTTCTCAATGAGTGCAGGAATGCACACAGAGAGAAAGAGAAAATGATTGCTTTTACATCCTATATGGGTGTAAAAGCAATCAGTGTAAAAAAAAAAAAAAAAAAAAATCTTTATCACCCCTCACAAGTAGTACAGTGTCACCATGGTGACACTGTACTGCTAGGGTAACAGTATGTAAAAAAAAAAAAAATAAAAATATAAAAAAAATAAAATAAAAATGTAAAAAAAATGTTTAAAAATTATAATTTTTGCTTATAAACTAATTTCGGATTTTTTTTTTTTTTTACTAAAAAGATAACGGAATAAATTTTGGCTAAGATTTATGATGAAATATTATTTATTTGCAAACTTTTATTAAAAAAAAACACTTTTTTAAAAATTTTTTGGACATTTCATTTACATAGCAAAAAAAATACAAATCCCAGTGGTGAATAAATACCACCAAAATAAAGCTTTATCTATCTAAAAAAAAGGTAAAAAATTCATTTGGGTACAGTGTTGCATGACTGCGCAATTGTCATTCAAAGTGTGATAGCGCTGAAAGCTGAAAATTGCCCTGGATAGGAAGGGGGTAAAAGTGTCCGGTCTGGAAGTGGTTAAGAACGCTTATACAAGACTCAGGATTCTAGTGCTAATTAGGGTTTATTTTTTGATGACTGTTTTCAGATGGTTCACATTTGAACTAAATACTATATGTTCCCCTGCCTTCTCCCTATTCCTCCTCTCACATTGATTGAGAATGAGGTTTGCTGCCGCCACCCCCCTCTGCCTTTTCTGCCCATGTGCAGATGTGCCACAGGGATTCAGATCCTGGTAAATCTGCGCACATATGGCCAGGTCACCACAAACGGGAGTGTCTGCGCATGCATGGTAGCTTATCTGCACAGATGTGCCAAGGATCTCGGTCAGGACCCAAAGGCCGGGCAGAGCCCTCTAGCACATCTGAATTGACACCAGATATACAAAGATGGCAGCACCGGAGGTTGGTCTTCGAGGGTTTCTCTTTAACTTTGGCAGTGAACCATCTCCTCTAGAAGTAAGTTAGATCTGCGAGGCAAAAGGCAGGTTATTACTTGTCTATCCATCACTCCATACCTGCTGCTTAGCAGACATGGCATTGGTAAGGTGAATTATGCTCAGGCCACATCTAGCAACATATTAACCACTTCCCGTCCGGCCCATGTATATAAACAAACGGACGGGAGCAGGGCAGGGGCGGGTGGCCGTTTATAAACGTCCTCCCCACTCCCTTCTTGTGCGCGCTCCCTGGGAGTGCGCAGATCCGCAATCCGGTGCCAGCTGTGTCCTCCGGACACAGAGGAACACCGATTGTTGTACGGGACCTCTGTGTGAGGTCCGATCATGTGATCACTGATTGGCCAATCAGTGATCACATGCAAAGTAGTAAGCAAGATGTCACTTCTGACATCATTGCTTACTACTAGTGAAATCTGTGATCAGAGGTCACATGGTACAAGGCTATTCACAACAGCCTTGTACCATGTGACAAGCTGTGACCAATCACAGCTCTGAGTATTTCAGCCAGAACCAGAATGCAGCCAGAGAGGAGAAATTATTGCTTTTACAGCCTTTGGGTGTAAAAGCAATCAGTATAAAAAAAAAAAAAAAAAAAAACTGATTGGCCAATCAGTGATAACATGCAGAGTAGTAAGCAAGATGTCACTTCTGACATCATTGCTTACTACGTGTGAAATCTGTGAATGATCACAGAGGTCACATGGTACAGGGCTATTCACAACAGCCTTGTACCATGTGACAAGCTGTGACCAATCACAGATCTCACAGTATTTCTCAATGGCTGCAAGAATGCAGCCAGAAAGAAATAGAAATGATTGCTTTTACAGCCTTTATGGGTATAAAAGCAATCGGTGAAAAAAAAAAAATCTTCATCACCCCCCACTAGTATAGTGTCATTATGGTGACCGTATGTAAAAAAAAAAAAAAATTAATATATTAAAGTAAAAAAAAATTTTAGAAAGAATCTCTCTCTCTCTCTCCTCTCTCTCTATCTATATATATTTATTGATATATTAAAGTAAAAAAAAATTTTTAGAAAGAATCTCTCTCTCTCTCTCTCTCTCTCTCTCTCTATCTATCTATATTTATTGATATATTAAAGTAAAAAAAAAAAATTAGAAAAAATATAGTTTTTGGCTGTAAACTAAATTTGTGTTTTTTTTCTAAAAAAAAAATTGAATACATTTTGGCCAAGATTTATGAAGATTTGCAAAATTTTATAAGAAAAACACTTTTTCAAAATGTTTGGACTTTTTCATTTATATAGCAAAAATTTAAAAAAATAAAAATCCCAGTGGTGAATAAATACCACCAAAATAAAGTTTTATCTGTATAAAAGAAAATGCTAAAAAAATTCATATGGGTACAGTGTTGCATGACCGCGCAATTGTCATTCAAAGTGTGATAGCTCTGAAACCTGAAAATTGTCCTGAACTTGAAGGGGTATAAGTGTTCGGACATGAAGTGGTGAATGGGTAACAGTTTTATTCCTTGAGGTGAATTTAGATATCAGTTAATGTTGGGCTACAAACTGCATTCCACGGAGGCGAGTGAAGGAGGCGAGTGAAGGAGGCGAGTGAAGGAGGCGAGTGAAGGAGGCGAGTGAAGGAGGCGAGTGAAGGAGGCGAGTGAAGGAGGCGAGAAGTGAAGGAGGCGATGTGAAAGGAGGCGAGACTGAAGGAGGCGACTGAGGCGAGGAAGGAGGCGACTGAAGGAGGCGACTGAAGGAGGCGACTGAAGGAGGCGACTGAAGTCTGGAAAATTAGAAGGTATGTTTTATGACAAAGTTGTCACATTTAAATGGTGAGAGGGGGTGCAGATCACTATTTTTGTACGATTATAATTCGGCATAATAAAATTGCCTGCCATGCACAGTAACCTTGACCCGCACTCAACCTTAAAAGCAACTCGATTTCTTTTTAGTATACAATGTCTGGTTATGGATTAGCAGCACCCCTCACATAATTTGTTAGTCAGTGACTACAAGAATTAGAAAGATAAATGTGACGGAGTACCAATGGTTGACAGCACTGCCACTGCAAGCCTCTCATTGTGGGCTGCAGTGCCTGAGAGAGAAGTGTGTGAGACACATAGGAAGGAGGATTTGGTTTAGTCCGTGAAAGACGTTTTTTTTTTTCACTGTACAAGGCTTTTGCCGTACAAACAGGATTGAAGTAAAATAAAAAAGGAAACATTTTGACAACTACATTACAACAAATTGTTAATGTATCAAATTTGACATATGAAGAATTTGATTTTAAAATGTGAAATGTATGCGTTAGTATTGTTCTGCAGGATGCAATTAAGCAAATCTAAAACAATGCAATTGAAATGTCAGGCAGCAGAAAACAAGACATGCAGCCTAATCTCTGCTTTTGTAAAATGTGTCATTAAATAAAGCGTGTTTGTTTTGTTTTAAAGGAAACCAATGGAAGGGCTCTAAGCTGCTTTTTAGTGCCTTTACTTTATTTAGGTGCTTCACTGGAAAAAAACAAAAAGCATGTTTGCAGAGCTCAATAGCTAAAGCTTAAAGTGACTGTTAAAGGCGCAAGTTTTTTTTACTTCTTGCATTCTCACTGGGGGGGAGCAGGGCCAAGCCATGCTTAATGTGTGAAAGCACACACAGCCAGGGGCGGACTGACAACTCATGGGGCCCCCGGGCAATAGGGGATCATGGGGCCCCTGTGTCCTTATCCAAACTCATAAAAGCCTATGAAAAAGGTACCAGGGGCATCTCATGGGGCACCCTACTGACTCCGGGCCCTCGGGCAGTGCCTGAGTTTCCAAATGGTCAGTCCGCTCCTGCACACAGCAGTGGCTCAGCAACTTGCTATGGGGGCACTTGGTAGGAAGGAAGGGCCAGGAGCACCAACAGAGGATTACACCAGCAAAATGATTGCACAGAGCAGGAAAGCATGACTTTTAAAAATTAAATCTGCCTTGAAAATATCACCTTTTGAAAAACCTATAGCTAGAAATAGAGCCAGAACAGTGACCACATTTTAAAATTGTTCTATAGAAAAGGGAACGGGTTATTACCACCACAGTACCATCATTGGGGTGATTACCTTTCATTTCCTGCCCTTGTGACAGGGGCTCAGAGGTAAGAAAATGAGGGGAAAAGGTCTCTAAGGAATGTGTGCGTTTGGATTGTACACTTGCAGGTCGCTAATTGGGATTACAGAGAGCAAGAGGACCATCTTTATTACAGTAGAGTGAGAGAAGGTC